ACATACATATATTCTACAAATGAATATGCAATATTTATTTTTCATTGTAAATGATCAATGAAAACTTTTAAATTATACGAAATCCTCTTGAACAAATTTAGTTGCTCTGTCATAAGTATTTCGTTTTCATTTAACAATGGTAGGCCTCTACAGTTGAATTTTTAATCAATCAACTAATCAAGTGCTATGAAGGATATCTCGAGAGAGATTTTTGTCATTTTGCATGAAATTTTAATTTTGGGCATCATTTACATCGGTGCCTTTTTTTTCTTCAGCAATAAGACAAGTGGCAAACTATGCAGACACATGGGATATTTTGATCAACTTTCTGTTTTTTTTCTCTTTCCTTTTTGGTCAGTCTTTCTTTTGGTCAAGTCCTTGTTGTAGAACTTTACTGCACCCCATCTTTAGGCTCATCTCATCCAGTGTTAAAAAAAAAACCAGGTCTTTCGGACATGATCTCAGCCTTCTGCTTCAGGATTTCAAAACTAGTGTCATTAAACCCTGGTTGAACTTGTACTCTCTCTAACCATCTTCTTAAGGACCGTTCACTTGGTAAGGCAAAAAGCTTAATCTTGCGACAAAACCTGTATGCTGCGGGGCTCTGGTAGTGCAAAGCACAGGCCATAAGTTTCTCATTACTTGTATATCGTCTACCTTTCATTCTCCTTTTCCCAATTCGAAGCTGACTTGCAAAGAAATGCAAGGCAGTTTCATCTAAGAATTTAGAAGCATCTTGTATGATGTTTTGGACTGAACCACATTGTTTGGGTATCTTTTCTAGATTAGCCTTTAGGTGTTTTACTTTATTTCTTAGTCTGTGTATTTTGACCCTTTCTGTAGACTTAACCTGATCTTTGCTGGTTGTAGCAGCCTGTGAAGTGCCTGCAGAAGCTTGTGCACTCTCTACAAAGACAAAAGTAAAAAAAATAATTTTAAAAAGGATTTTTACTGCACATAATAAGGTACATAATTTCATTTCAAGTGCCCACACTTGGGTCCCACAGAAGTGAATTCAGGATATTCACAATGCAATATACCACCAAGAGTTTGCTGCAGAGAGTCCATTCTCCCCCTGCATTGTTGGAGATGGTCAACAATTCTTCCTGCAAACAGTTCAGGTGCAGTTATGTTTTCTTTGGCTATAAACAGAGAAATTAAAGACTTTCCTTACCAGGTTCATTTTGTGTAGGCTGTGTTTGTTCATCAGAATCTGGGTCTGCATTGTCATCATTGTACACACTGCTTGGCTCTTGTGGTTCAGAAACTTCACTGGCAGTGGGTTTGATCTTTGCATAAGTGTGGTCTCCTCTCCCTCTGGATGCGTAGCCAAACTGCAATCTAAAATATTAAATTATAACAATACAAGGGACTTAAGCAAAACCTGCTGAACATTATAGATCCACAAGGTCCATTTAATACAAAATACAAGAAAGATGATATCATTAGAGAAGCAACCATTGATACTGTAAAATGTAGTTTTTCTTCAATCGATTGAAAAAATCTGAATGTTGACTAAATGTCTGAAAAAATGTAAATCTGTTTGTATTACTAATCTCATTCTCCCAGATTCAAATTGTGATTTCAGACAAATGTAAATCTGAAACACTTCATGCCTGGGCATGTTACAAGAGATTTTCTGAGAAATGTGCTTCTAGATGAAGAAGTGAGTTTTAACAGTCCACCATTTAGGAACTTTTTTTGGCCATGCAGTATCCAGTGTGCATCCAAAGGCCCAAACACTTTTATGAGATGTAAACACTTGTGTATGTAGGCCCAACATTTTGTAATAATGATGGGATTGAAGCTTCCTTGGACACTTTCGGCATTTCGTTTATACACTTGAATGGACTTCAATATCTCTGATTTCATACCTTGCTTACATCTCTTTTCTGTACTGCTGGTACCAGTGTCCCTACTTTGACGTTTGCCCTTCAGAGAAATGCTTGGTGGTGGGTTAGGAATGTTAAACAAAGTGGGTATAGCATTCCACACTAGCCTTCCACACAGGATTTGAGATTTCTCAAAATGTTCTGAACATATTCTACAGTTTCTATTGAGGTAGTCTGCTGACTTTTCCCGCAAATTATCTCGCCTTGTGGCTTGCACCCACTTCGCTGATCTGTGACCAAAGAAAAAAAAAGGCATATACATAATTCATTCATATTTTCATCAATTAATAGGGCTAGTTCCATCCCCAGTATTTAACAAGATCATAGAGATAAAACAAAAACTTGCAAATTGGGAGCACACATTTACCTAGCAGGTTACAACAGGATGTAGGCCTTAAATTAAAATGATAATGGTAAATATGAAGGGAAATGTTTCATGGCATTGCAGGCCTAGGCCTACCGTACATGGTAATGGACAACACTTATTTTCCCTACTGTGACCTAACACAGCAGCTATCAGCAGAAAAACATTTCCTTAAAATTCATATAGCAAGGAAAATATTGATGCATTTACTGAAAATTAGTGAAAAATCACCAGTCCATGGGATTTGTGCACAGGGTGCTGGATGTAAAGTGATGTCTAGTAAATGGCGGTTAACTAATAGGAGCCTATTTCCTATTTTTAATTTATCTAAAAAGCTAGGCCCATTCATTCTATTAAAGTACTCTGCTCATCAGGCCTAGCATGGGCACACTCACGACTGGTCTCCATTATTAGACCTGCAAATTCAATAAATTAGACCCCTCATCTCATTCTCGCAGTCGGCCGGACACTAGGACAAGCTCGTCCATTCCTGTCCATAGCAACATGCATAAATTTTCCCCTTCGGTTGGCGCCAACTGTATTAATTGTACACGACGTTCCAGGATGTCCGACGTAACAGTTTGAGCAATTACTTCCGGTTTCACTGTTTTGCGCGGACTGTCCTATCTTCCCCTCTCTAGTATCTTTGATCAAATGCACCATCCTTGTCGTTGATGGACCGTCTATCCTACTGAAGTATCCACCAGACATCATCTTCTGTGTGACACGAGCAGAGCATCTCTGAAGGTCCACTGTGCGAGTAGTTTATCCTTTCTTGTTATCTTCCACATAGCTGGATTGTGACTGAGATCGTGCAAGTAGATAATCTTTAAAAAGCTTCATCTGTAGTCTTGCTCATTAATTATTAGAGATTTTGGTAAAAATGAACAGAAGTCTTTGTAGAAATTGTAGATATAATTCACCTCGCGTAAAATATACCTTCGCAAGTTTACAAACTTCCACAAAACGTATTATTTTGCAACATTGGAACGTATAAAAGTATAGGGGCCTACTACCTTTTTATCATGTTTATTGCTCATGTGAACTGTTACATTCGTATTTCAGGACAGTCATCATGGATTGGACTGCTTGCATTATCTGCATGCAAACTACACCACAAAAACTACGTTGTCCACAAACAGGTTTAAATTATAACGTCGGAGAAGTATATGCTCAATTCCTAGCAAATGTTGAAGGGTTTAGGGCAATAAATGCATTGCCAGTTGATGTAGAATACGGAGCCGAAGGGACTTTTGAAACTTTTCTGAAAAATAATGCCTCAGGGCATCATTCTTGAGGTATTCATTATGAGGTAATCATGACATAAGACATTGCATTTTAACGAATCATTGATCACAACAGGGAATAGGAGCGAGGGTGTAATGTACATGTACACACGTGTTTAATTTAATATGTTAAATTAGGAAACATCCCTCATTTTATCAAACTATTTGTACTATTAAATCTCTTGAAGATTGGCAACTGCATTGATTTCCTTGATCTCAGAAACGTATATTAAAGATAAAAAAAGTCCATGGCTTATTCCTTACTAATTTCTCAATTTTAATGTATAAGTGTGTTATAATCGAGATGAGACGAAGGAGGAGTTGGCCAGTTGCATGGAGTCAAGGGAGGTGTGGCGCGTCAGGCATCGTTCCCGCCTCAAGACGGCCTCACGGCAACGTCTCGAGCCGACTTGACTGACTGTGTAATAATTAGCCAATGATGTCATAATGATGTCATAAGTGGCCCTTCCCATCATCCAATTTTTTGCATCCTACCTTTTTTCGAAAAGGTAAATCATGGAGATGCTTTGGTGTGAAAATGGTTCTTTTGTCCACCGTGTCACGATTTTTTCACTAAGGTACCTCACTTTTATGCCTATTTCTTTGGAACAAGTTTAAACATTTAAGATACTAATAATCAATTACAAAAACTCTTTTGGCACAGAATTTGAACCTTTCTCTCTGACTTAACAACATCTCACAATACCACATACGTGTACTGTTTGCATGTTAAAACAAGGTGTCAAAGTGACTACCCAAAATCCATGATTTTACCCAAGAAAAACAGGGAAACAAACCCTGAAAGTTGCATGAAGATACAGTCTTCCAAATGGGAGAAAGTGATTTTCAAACATTTCGCACGCGAACATCCACATGTCTGTGTAGCTGTTACTTCATTCAAAGTAAAGTATTACGTAACCTTTAGAAATCTGCCTTTGTTAGCACATGGCTGTGCCTACCCTTGTTTGACAGCCCCTACCCCAATTTTTTTTTTTGGGGGGGGGGGGGGAATGAAGAAAAACCTGAAAACCATCAATTACACTACCTTTTATCCTTATACCACGTGCAGACACCTCCATATGATCGTTGCCCCCCCCCCCAAAAAAAATTGCCCAATAAAAAAAATCCAACCTAACCTACCTACTCCATTTTCAAATGCCGTGTAATCAGAAGAATAACCATTTGGTTTTTTTTTGCCTTATAATAATAGAAACATGTTTCATGTGGTGATTGGAAAGTTGTGGGCAAATAAATAAAAAAGGGACAAAATTATAAGCATATTTATAGAAACCCACAAATCCCTTAAATTTGACCCAAAATATCGCATTTATGGTCATTTCTATGAACAAAAAATCCAAGTATGTCTTTAGCTGGAGCATTTAAGGATAATTTAAGAAAAAAAAGGTACCCTTTTTGATGTATTTTATTTTTTCTTTCAAATTATCCTAATGTTTACAGGAACAGGAGGTTGACAAGGACCAGTTGGATATATCCATCGCAACCCACTATTTCTCACCAATAGTTGCATCCTATGCATCGTTGGACAATGAACTCCACTTACCTTATGCATCCATAAGAACTAAGAATGACTTCCTGTTTGTCCTAAAACAGGTAAGAAACTACTGTAGAATTGTTTGGATCACCCTTCTGCTATCTGAACAGACAGTAAAAAAAAATATTTTCCTGTCATCCCTTTTAGGCCCCCAAAAAAGTCTCCGGTTTCTGGTATGCGCGCGCGTCGCCGTAGCCATGCGCGTCGGCAAAATGAAAAGTTTTTTTTTCAATGAAAGATGATGTCTCAAAACCGCCAAACTCACTGGTTTGACTGGAATCCTGCTGCTGCACAATTTTAACGTGTTTTTAGATTGGGTTATGGTTTAGAATAAGCTTTATGTGGCCTCTCTGGACTCCCATATATTTGCACTAAGTTTAGTCGGGCACCATTTGCAGTCATCAGCCGACATTTGAAGCAAAAAAATCAGGTAAAAAAAAAAAAAAGCCGCGTCGCCGCACCACTTTTTGGGCAAGCTCCATATCAGAAACCGGAGACTTTTTTTGGGGGCCTTACACAGGCTAGTCACCAATAGTCACTCATTTTGAGTTCAAGGAAGAACAATCATTCAAAAGGCGTGGCAATTATCACGCACCTCCTAAGACTTTATGCGTGGGTCATGATGGCCGCAGGGATATGCGGATAAAAACAAGGTGGTAAAACAAACTGTAGTGGAGTCTCATGTTGCATATTTTTTAGCGCTTCATAAGTCAATGAGACTGCACGCGGACAACTGCTGTATACAATGCGTATGAAGATCAAACTGTTTTCATGCTCCGGGCTCGGTGACTAAACAAAATCAAACAATGGCCACTTCAGATTGTGTTAAAAAAAAATTTCTTATACGTTTCATGCCAGTTTGTCACATTCCCCAAATATACACCTGCTGTAATGAAATATTTAAATTCATATCAGTTATGTGACTGAGAGCAGTGCTTTGCTCGTACCCACTGCCCTGCAAACAGAGCAATGGGATACGCTGATGAGCTTCACAGAATCTTGTGAAGGAAGTGGGCGGGGACGATAAATTGGTGTTACTTTTTTACTTGGCCTTATATTATAATGTAAAGTTCGGGAGGGAGGGATCTGCAGTGGCGTCACCAGACTTTTCAGTCTGGGGGGGCACAGGGGGGGCACCAGCATTTGATGGGGGGGGGGGCACTTAGGTGGATACGGATCGCCGTCCTGGGGGAGGGGTCTAAGGGGAGGGGGTGCCCCCCTCCCCTTTGGAAAATTTTCGCATACGGAGGATGGGCTTGATGCAAAATGGTGCCACATTTGATGCTAAATTCGATCTGAAGATATCTCCAGAAATTGCTATTTAACCAACTCAGATGATGGGAGTTGAATATAACAAAATATATATATATTTTTTTACCAACCCAAATCTCAGATGGGGGGGCACTCGGGGGGGCACTAGGTTTTCCAGGGGGGGCACGTGCCCCCCCTGGCCCCCCCTTGGCGACGCCACTGGGGATCTGCACAAGCATAGCTATAATAATAGTAATAATAATAATAATTATATTTATAACGCACGTTTTCCAAAGGTTACAAAGCGCAACCAAGGACACCTCTGATAGTAGGAAAAACCAAAAAAGAACATTAACATGAATCAAGTGAACAGGTAGGTTTTAAGTGAGGAATAAACATATGTATTGTAGCGCAAATTGGTAAACATTTTCATGACTTACTTCTCACGCGGTGATTCTCTCTAATTCTGGCAGCTGGTCTTCATTGGGCGATAGAAACTAGCAATTGGGTGTTTTTAGCTGCACACATAAATGTACATAGCGCGCAAACGTGAGTGCTTGGCGGTACAGGGTACCAGGGAAAGCGCTGTTGCGCATTGGGATCTTTACTGAAGCCAAATTTAAAGCGCGTATTTTAAAGTTGCTAAGGAGCTTGGTTACGCGTACGCTGTGGGCGCGGCGCACTTCACTTGCCATTTTGCTGTCACTTTGAGCGGACATGCGCTGATCTCTACAACTAAAATCGTGAGTAGAAAATAGTGTTATTTATATCGTGACACTTTTCCCAGCTATTTAATTTAGGGCAAGTCTAGCTTGGGGTAATTTAGCGCACAGTTATCCAAAGTCCGCATATTTTTAGGTGAAATTTAGGAGAGAAAATAAGCCAGATATCAGTCGAGGCTGAGTTCCAGATAGATCAACAGTGCCTACTGCACACGTTTAGTTACCGGACCACGCAATATGCGACTAGGGAGTACGGGTACCAGTTGCCCTGCAAACCATGCATTCAATACACGTCTTTTTACTGACGGTAACCAGTGGCAATAATAATTATGTGGCTACGGCTAGTCACCATTATGCGTATAATAGATCATGCGCAAACGCACGAGGTATCTGCCAAAGCTAGCCATAGCCAAGTCAAACGTAGTAGTCAGATTATGTATGTCATTTATGTACGCTGCATGCCGGTACGACGGTCACCAGAACGATGGAACATTCAAGGCGGGATTTGGATTTCGTTAAGCAACAACTGCAAGTGCATTTTAATATTGGTCTCGTGCTGGTCTTGGCCCAAAATTCTGAGAACAGTGGGTGCAAGACCAAGACCAAGACCAGCGTTTTTTTCCGAGACCATGCGTGGTCGAGACCAAGAACACATTCAAACTGGTCTCGAGACTGGTCTCGAGACCAAGACCAGTCTCGACGGCTACAACACTGGTACATGTACCTCCGATTCATTTGGTGCAAATTAAATGATGCATCGAGTAGTACAAGTTATATTTTGTTTCTGATTGTCAGTTACTTGCTTGCCAAATAGGGTTTGCCTGCAGCAAGTGGGGATATATTTTCCCCGAACGGACGCACCCCCCGGGTTGTCGTGAACCCACCGCCCATATAGAATCCCCATTGCGTGCGGAGCCGCTCCTGCTTGCAACTCAATATAATATTTTGTGGGAGAAAAAAAAACGCCACAGTGTTGAAGTGGAGCATCAAACTGATTGTGGGATGGAGTTCCAGATTCTTGAATCAGCCACAGTGAGAGCCTTATCTCCTGCTTTCCTTGCAGTGTGAGGAATACGTATGTTGCCCTGGGAGCGTAAGTTTCTTCGTGTCAGTGCTGTAAGATCCAGTGAGCTTGAAATGTATTTTGGAGATGAGTTAGTGTTTACTTTGTACATTATTAAGGCTGTCTTGTATAGACGAATCCAAGCGCGGTTTACGAAAGGGCGCCTCTTTCTTTCCCGCCATTACTGGGACGCATTTTGCATTATGCATGTGACCGCTGACCTCTGATTATCGAGTTAAGTGCACAGTGGCAGACGATCAACAACAAAATTATGTATTTTAGACCTTAATGTTTTATTTAGATTGTTGTTCTTTACCACATTGATGGTGTAATTGTTTTGCTTCAAGAAAATATGTCTACGAAAAAAAAATCCTCCAAGACATGACTTAAATTATTAATTTATGCGCACTGCCCGGCGGAATTTGTCCGTGTCATAGCGCGCAATTCGTTCAGTCTTCGACGGGGCTTGCGTGGCGTCAGCCCCCCGTGCAGTCAACTGCATTCACGGTGCGAATATTTGGGTGTCATGACATGGTGCAGCCGTGTACAGCTGATTTATTTATTGCCAGGATTAGGTTTTGTATCTGAATAGCTACCAGCATCACGACTGGACACAGGTGAGTTTCGCTTCTGACATGTCTGACAATGACGCGAAGAAAGGCTTACTGAAAGAGAACTTGAAGGTTGAACAAGCTGAAGTCGAATTCGAAGTTGCAAATTTTCTGGGTAGGCCTAGCCCTATAGCCTGACGTTTTACATTATCATCATGATCATGCATGATTAGTACTGGCAATACTTCATGTACTTTTAGCAATTCATGTACGCCTTGTAACAGGCCTAGATTTTCTCATAAGTCCTGTGCAATCCCTTCCCAAGTTTAATAATAATTGTGCACAATTTTAATTTTCCAAATTATCATATAAATCAGTGTCAGTGATATAAGTCATGGAATGTCAATGGTCATGATCAGCAATATTGTTTTTGTTCATCTTATAACAGGCCTAGCGTTTTTCCAAATACATGTAATTCATGGAGTGGACTGATGATTTACGTCAGTGGCCTAGGCTAGAATTTCAAGGTAATTTAAACAGAAGGCACGATCATTTACAGATTACAATTTACAGATAACTTTATTTTCAATAGGTTTAGAAAACTATGCACAATCATATTTTGCAATAGAACTATGAATTATCTTTGGCAATTAATAGTCTGTCTATGGTCAGTTGCAGGATTTTTTTTTTTTGAAGTTGCTTTATTTTTTATTTTGTGATATGGATGAGGCTGCATATGTATACATTTTAGTAAATTTAATTATTTTTTCAAATCTTAATAAATATGAATTACCTTTTTACATGAAACATACATAAATTTTAATTCAATTCATCTATTATCTCAAATAGTCTTCATAAATAAATATTAAAATTTTTACATGAAAGACATGTGCGCTGTAAGTAAATTCAATTATTGTTTCAAAAAAATTAATAAACATTACCGTTATCTCATTTTAATTTCAGATATTTATGACTTCTACATAAATGGACCTGCATGCGATGATCATCCCAATTTAAATCATCGAAGTATAAGTGAAGGGCTTAACTACCTTCATTCCGGATGGGTAGGAGCTATAAAGCATTGCTACAAAACTGTTAATAAGGACATTATTACACTGGCTGTTCAAATTCGCTTTTCCCAGAGGATAATCAACTTTCACAATGTTGAAGTAACAGTGAATAAAGCAAATAGGCAAATAGTTACTGTTAAATGTAATTGTACTGCTTCTGAGGGGAAATCCTGCAGCCATTCAGCTGGCCTTCTCTTCAAAATTGTGGAAGCTAACAAGTGTGGATTCACAGCCAGTTCATGTACGGATAAAGAGTGCATCTGGAATCATTCAACACAGGAAAATGTACTTCCAGACAGCATAAGTAATATCCGAGGGAAGAATGAATCCACCGTCAATACAAGTCTTGCATTTGATACTGATGAGCAACTTATGGACCATTTGAATAGTTCAACACTGAAGGAATTATCTGCAATACCCGGAACTATTTTAAATCACCTTAAATCAGCCAAGCCATTGTCCCATCCCCACAACAAGCGCACACTACCAGACCATGAACTGCACAACACCAACATGGAGTGCCCTGCATGTTTCATGACTTATGAGAAATACGTGCACCTTTCAACTACTGACGCTGTATTGCTTGCACAGTCTACAGTTAACCAAAAGTGTGCTCTGTGGACAACACAGAGAAAACTTCGAATAACAAGCAGCACAGCAGCTAGTGTTCCCAAGAAAGTTGGCACAGACCTGCCAAGTGGATTGCAAATCATTTGCACCCAACATTCTTAGGAAATTCTGCAACTCGTTATGGGCAAGAACATGAAGCGGTTGCACGTGAGCAGTTTGAGAGGGACACTGGTAAACATGTGGAAACCACTGGTCTGGTTGTCAATTCAGAAGAAAGATGGCTAGGAGCCAGTTTAGATGGAATTGTAGATGAAAATACCATCCTTGAAATTAAGTGCCCCACACAACAGAAACTGTCTAAATATGGTTCTGTCCGTGGCTTGATAAATAGTGGACAGTATGACGTGAGAGTTCAGCATGATGGATGTTTCTATTTACGAGAGACAACAGCAGCAAGTGGCTATTACACACAAGTACAAATTGCAATGTTTTGTTCACGCAGGAAAATGTGCAAGTTCATGGTGTGGTCCCAGACTGATTATGTCATTGTAGATGTGATGTATAATGAAGAATGGGTAAATAACAGAATTTCACAGCTTAGAGAATTCTATTTCATACATCTACTGCCAGCCCTTACAGATAACATTGCTAGAGGGGATCTACATATAGTTGACTTACAAAGCTAAAATGGAATGGATATCTGCAAACAAACAAAAGCCAAGATTTATATGATTTATGGTTTTAAGTACAAGTACATGTAAGCCTTACAAGTTAGGAAAGCATCCACATGCAGAAGTACTCAGAAAAATATGTTATCTTCAAGTAAACTTGTATCCTCCACCCTTATTGGTCAATCCTTGGCAACAACATATCACACTGTTCAGATTAGTTTTTTTTGCCCTTCACCATCGGTGAAGGGCAAAAAACAGATTCGAACCGGCCACCCGATCCCGTTAGCTCGGTGGTCGAGTGGTAAGACATCTGCACTAAAGCAGGAGGTCGAGGGTTGGAGTCCCACCCGAGTGATTTTTTCCAATTTTCACTCGGGAGGTAACACACTGAGTATACAGTGTTTAAAAAACGTCCGTGAAGGGCAAACAATTTAATTTGATTTATATTACCCCGACGCAAAATTCCATCTTATAATATCACACTGTTGCATCAGTGTGATACACAATGTATATCCTTTCACACATTCCCTATTCTAAGCTGCATGCGCAATAATCGCTAAAAGGTTCTTGTTAAGCGTGCTAGTTCCAACACACATGCCCATTTTATACTGTGCATCAAGTTTACTTGAAGATAAATTTGTTACCCCGCTCTTACTCATAGAACACGGCAAAATGTCGTGTGTCTGTGTCCATAGACGCACTACATTATTCCGTGTTACACACGCACTCGCGGGATAACTTAAAAAAGTATGAAATATGTATTTAGCAAATTATTTAAAATTTCAAACATGTGATGTAAATTTATGGGTGAGGTTTTGAACAGCGTATACATGTACCACCAGGAAAAAAAATTGTGCAAAATTTAAAACTTGGTTTCATGGAGGTGTGAACTTAGTATTGACTACATTGTAGCTAAGCAGGATAAAACTCAGTCCTCATCTTCAAACAACCATTCATCCTCAAAATCATCATCCGAGTCTGTGATCATTTCCTCAGTTTCAGGCTCTCCTTGAATTAGTAGCAGTTGTAGATTACACAAACCTGCACATACAGTGACAATGTTGTCCACATTCATGACACGTCCTGGGATAACTGTGCTTAATATCTTGTAACACTTAAGGCGTCTGATGGCTCTTTCCACATGTATACGAACATTTGCAAGTCTCCTTGTGCGTGTAACCTCCTCTTCTGGAAGTATATGGTCCTTGTTGCCAGTGGTGAAAGCTGGGATGGATAATTTCACCCCCGGTGGCAGAATGTCATCAATGGTAAACCCCTTGTCAGCAAGAACTTCATCACCAGGTTGTAAATGCTGTAAAATACCTGAACTTTGAGTGATAAATTTGTCACTTGCACGCCCACCAAATAGTTTTGATAAGTACATGACAAAGCCATTAGGAGCAATACAATAAATACTTGAATGTATTGTGATGCTTATAATTTGAATAGGTCTGAGCACGTTGTTTCAGGTTCCGTGGTCTTTGTACAAACATTTCGGTACAATCTATTATACAAGTGGCCCTAGGATAGTGTTCTAAAAAGCATCTTGGTCTGATCCTTTGCAGTGTGTCCCTCGAAGGCCAAAATATCAAGTGTTCACGCATAAATCTTGCCAAGATGGGAATCCATTCTCTGAAAATCTGGCATGCTGTAGATTGGGAAACCTTAAACGTGTTCCCAAGTCAAAGAAGAACAAACCAAGTCGGAGTCGCATCAACACAAGCAGAAGTTGATTGCAGAGCTTCATCTTGAAAGTTGGCACATTTGGCAAAATTGACAGGCATTTAACCAATGCCCAAAATACATGAACACTCAAGCCAGTGTAGAATTTGCTCTTATCATCACCCATATCAGATGCAGACAGTTCGGGAGAGGTATCCGTCTGACATGTCTGAGTTGCTTTCACTTGGCTTTTTATGGGGCAACTGCGATTTTTAGCATATGTGTGATCTGCAGTGCTAAAATCATACCACTGCACTGAGGCGTCTTTACATGTAGTTGCTAAAGAAGCAGGCAGTATGGGTTCTCCACACACAGGGGAAGCATGTGGCATCTTGTGAACGGCATGCACAGACACAGATTCTTGCAGCTTAAAATCTCTTCTCAATCTTGGGGCATGTCTGCCGGAAGATAGTGGTTTCTGTAATAACAAAAGTGTATACATGTACATTCATGAAGTACATGTGCATGTACTAGCACCCTCATGAACTCTATCCCCAGACCATGTGGTCATCTTGCCCTTAAGCTTACGTCCCATTATAAAGCTATGTAAATTTCAAACTATAGCATAACCACCCCTGGCTGAAAGGTAAGGTCGGAAAAAAATATTCAGACACCTGACTCTACTACAGCAACCTACAGATTGTCAAATTATTTACCTATCAATGGATTAAACATATTTAGTAGTAATGTGCCATGATTTTAGAACTTACATGAGGTTTATATCCCATGTGCAGTGATGGGTAGGGGTTATTCTTTGATGGTTTCCCATCCTGAAAGTGGATTGAGCAAATCTGCAAAATGAAAAAAAAATGAATAAATATAAAACTAAACCTAAACAAATTTATTTATTTGGTCAGATATATTGGCTTTGGGCAGCACTGCAGGTTACTGTCCCTCCGTTCATCACCAAACACTTCAAAAAAGGGAGAGTGCTGTTTTTTTTATTTTGCAGGCTACATGTATTAAACAATTTATTGGACTTTTTTTTTTTTTTTTTTTGTTGTAATTTCGCAAAAAAAGTAAACCACACTTCTTCAATAGCCTACGTGAAAAGTAGATATCCAGGCATTTCTGGATCAATTTCCCTTGTAATATGAAATAATATACACCACAACATGTGTAAGCACACTTCCAAACTGGAAATCAACTGTCTGGCTAGTCTAAGTTTTATTACTTAGGCCTAGGCAATAAGTAATAAAGTTATTAACTACACTTGTCAGTTTATCAGGTAATTTACAAAGGTGTGCATACTCACCCTGCTATTTTTAGTTGGCTCAAAGTCCTTTCTATTAAGGTTTTTAATCCAATTATTACGGCTGCTGAAGGACCACACCTCACAGTCACTGCCGGCGGGAAATCTGTGTAGCTGCCATGGTTGCACACAGGAACATTCACGATGAGACTTTGGAGAGTGCAGATCGCACACCGACGTTTTCCACTCGGACAGCTTTTTGCTGCTATTTTTGCAGCCCACCACCGCACAAACTTTTCCTGAATTTCCCGAACTCATTTCCTCTTTGCCTTTAATTTGGTTTACTTGAAATTGACTTTCACCAATGTATCTGTGCACAAAATTTGACAAAAATGCGTCCCAGCAATGGCGGATTTGAAGAGCGCCATCTTGTGACAAAAATACAGCGGTGCCGAAAACGCGTGTAATGGATTTGTCTATATGATGTGTTTCTCGACCGGGAGCCAATGAAGCTGCTGAAGAAGTGGGGATGTGTGAGTGTGTTTTGGAAGGGAGAAGATGACCCGGGCTGCTCTATTTTTAATTTTCTGCAAGCGGGCCGGATCAGATTTAATTGCTTGAGTCTGTTGAGAAGTGAGTTGCAGTAGTCGATTCTTGATAGCACGAGGGCATGAGCAGCTGCATGACAAGAATCCACATCGATGTACTTTCTCATTCTGGTGATGTTACGTAGATGATAATTGGCTGATCTGCAGACTGATGTGACATGTTCATGCATGGACATTGTGCTGTCAAAGATAACACCCAAGTTACAGATTGAAGATGATGGCCGGAATGTTTATTGTTTATATTGAGGGTAAGATGACTGAGACGTTTGGAGTTGTGCTGAGATGAAGCAATGAAGAAATGTGTCTTGTCATTCAGTTGGAGTTTGTTGGCTAGCATCCAAGTCTGAATATTCTGCTTCATTCTGAATATTCTGTGACATTCTGCTTCATTCGGGATTGAGGGGTCAAAACAGACATAGACCTGAATGTCGTCAGTGTATAGATGGAATTTGAACTCATGCCGTCGTTACGTCGTAGAACGTCCCCAACTCGTGAAATGTACGGTGAGAATAGCTGAGGGGCTATGACGGATTCATAGCCATAGGCGTAGCCAAGGGGGGCCGTGCTGTAAAAAAAAAAATGGAACATCAAAAGTTTTTTTAAAATGGAACGTTAAAAAAAATAGAATGTTAAAAAAAGGAATATAATAATATACACCCCAGTTAGGAATTACCCACACGAGTGATTTTGACCATGCGTTTATTTGACAATACTGAAATGAATTCAAACCATATATTAGGGCTTGCCCTTCACCAACTGATGTGTACTCGGGCCCCTGTTCTTGAAAATTTTCCTCCAAACAAATCTGCATTAGTGTCTGAGTCCCTCATCTCACGAAGGCTATATACCGGTACGCACGTAGAGTCTACATCACTCTACTAACCTATAGAGCGAATACTACCTATGCATTGTTCCCTGTGCCGGCAGGCAATTTGCTAAGAGTTTTACACACAAAAGCGCCCTCAAGTGTCCTATCCACGATGCCCTGTGACATGCGCACTACGTCAGCGTCCTCTTTTTCTCTTAGCCGCAGGCGAGGTATATCGTGAAATTTC